ATGAAATGGTCTTGAAACGGAGGACTCAGTGAATGAGAGAGGAAAGCTTTCTCCTTGCTAGATTTGAATGCCAGGTGCTTGTGATGGCAGCATTACCTCTAAGAACTATTATTTAGGGTTTTCATAAGGAGCTCCTGTGCTACTGGTCAGAGGTGTGAACTTTAGGGTCAAATAGCATAGCCAAGATTGAACCTTCTGGTCCTTGGTCCTGGACCAGCTTGGTCCAGCTGAAAACTTCTTATAGTCTGGAAAAGGAAAATAAAGTCTTTTCTGTGTGAAAAGCTAAAGTGTGGGAAAAACCTAAATAAACTCATCCAAGATCTGATGGCAGAGGTGATGGAACAATCAGATGCTAAGAGGCTCAGATTTAGAAAGCAAACTTGGGATAAATTACTTCATTACCTGAAGCTGTAATTGGAAGATTAAGTCCCAATATGCAAATGGATCACACTTATAAAAGTGTGAAAACCCATGAGCTATCATCCAGTTTTTGGGGGTAGCCCCTGGGTGGGCTCCCTCTGCCCTAAATGTACCTGAAGGTACTTCAATAAATATAACTGCTTTTTATTCCCTTAATTTTGTCTGGCCTCTGTTTGTAGGTAGTCCCAAAAAGGCATTAAAACAAGAGACAAAGAAGATTGTAAGTGGAGCGTGTCACACCTGCATTGTTGTTTCTGTGGCTGCTACAGGACAGGGAATGTGGGGCAGTGCAGAATTTTAGATTTGTGCACACTCCTGGTTTTGGGACTCAGAACATCAAGTGGACATTGCTTCAGCCTGGAGGTTCCCTAGGAATGCCTAGCACTGGACAGACAGGAATTCATGTTGCTGAGGGGACACTGATCCCCTTTAGCCACTGGAGTATTGGAATAAATTACACAGGACTCCATTTCCTTCCTGGTGGAAAAAGCTCATTCTTTATTCACATAACTCCTTTTTATACAGTTTTATAGACTTTGTGTGTAACTCCAGTTGGTTAGCAGCTTTCTTGCCAATTATTTTATGGGTTAGTAAAGTTGTATTGATTGTGTGTATGTGCAGGAAATGTTGTTTTTGAGAGATAGTTTTCATTTTTCTATCTAAGGGTGTAAAAACAGTTTATACAGGTGCTAGCTGAATTTTCACCCAGGAATAGATTGTTATGTTAACGAACTGCTTTTATCAGGATTGCTTTCACATGGGAACTTGCCAAGGGCTGATAAGGAGAGCAGGCTTGATTTTATGCAGCCTTTCCCTATGGTTTTCCTGCCTTACAACAACACCTCGAGTGCCTGGAGTCTTTGGGCATGCTGGGTAACCTTTGGGTCACTCTTGTTGTTGCAGGAAGCTCTGATCATGGCCAGCATGGACCACCCACACCTGGTGAGGCTCCTGGGTGTCTGCCTGAGCCCCACCATCCAGCTGGTCACCCAGCTGATGCCTCACGGCTGCCTCCTGGATTATGTCCATGAACATAAGGACAACATCGGCTCCCAGCTCCTGCTCAACTGGTGTGTCCAAATTGCTAAGGTATGTGGTGAACTGCTGGGCTTTTGGAATCATTTCTTATTGTTTTCCCAGCTAACTTGAAAACATGGCTTTTTATTTGTGCTGGGTTTTTTTTTTTTTTTTTCAGGCCTGTTTTTGTTTCCAAGAAGGTTGGGTAGTTCTTGAAATACACACTGTTTTGGCTGCTTTACAGTATTATATGTGAGCCAAAATGCTTTTCTTAACTGTCTTTCCAACTCATTGTTAATAAGGGGTTGTTTTTTGGGGCAAGAAGTGAGGGAAGAAGCCCCCATGTGAAATCTGGGGCTGGACACAGGGTGATTTTTCAGCCCCTTCTGTTGTTCACTCTTAATGTATATACTGGTTTTCAGCCCTTCTGGATCTGCATTGCCAGCCATGTCATCAATTCTCTGCCCCCACACTGCCAGGAAGACAAACATGTCCTTCATGCCACTCCTGGGGTGTGACATGTTTTACAGCTGGTTTTAGACATGTTTAGGTATTCGGTGTTGTACTAAGAACAAGTATTCAGTACTAAGAAAATTGTTTGCAAAGAATAAGATCTTGCAGTGTAGAAGGCCATAACTTGCCCATTTTAAAGGTGCTTTTGAACAGCTAGGGTTGTTTACTGCAAGTGGCAATTTGGAGCCTGCCTTTTGCATTGGGTTATTTGGAAGTTGTTTAAAGTTTTAGATTATTTTGGAGAAAATGCTTGTTATAAACACATGCCCACAGACTATCTTACATTAAATCTGCAACCTTAAGTGTATTTCCTACAACATCTATTACAAAATGTTAATTCAAGTTGTAATGTTGATCTTTTAGCAGTGAGGAGAAACCTGAAGATTCAGCAGTTGTTTTGCTGGACTCAATATTAAGTAAACATTTGCCTCTTTTAACAACTTAAATACAAAAAAAAAAAGTTCTTACAAAAGTAAGAAAACATGGAAATTCAGCTAGCTCTGTGTTGTTCTTCATCATGAGGAGCATCATGAATAGGGACTGTTTTCTTTCCAGAATCAGATCTGTTGTTACACCTTCCTGAAGAAGAGAGTAGATAAAGTGACTGTAGGGCTGGGTAGAGGTGGGGGAACCCAAACTCCACAATCTGCCATTGCAGCATTTTGTAGATGTGTGACTATGCTGTGCTGTGGTGGTAAAGCAGCCAGAGCTGCTGGGAGCACTGGAGCACACCAGTGGGAATTGCCTCTATGGAGATGTGCAAAGGTTCATTTAGGGCTGACAGCAGACTAGAGGAGGTGGGAGACAAAATCCATATTCCTGTTTAAGTCCTTTCCCTCAACACAGCCTCCTCCCCATCTGTTCTCCACTCTTTTGATTGATAGTGGCTGTTATTATTTAATGCAAAACATTGACTTGGTGCCATCCTGCAGAGGCAATCCTCCGTGATTGTCACTCTGGGTGTGCCTACGGCCCTTGGCTCCTTGGAGCAGGGCTGTGCTGGCTTTGCTCTGAGCCTTGCAGTGGAGCAGAGAGGCTGAGCAGAGCTTACAGAGCTGACAGATCTCTGGGAGGGCCTGTGCAAGGCAGGTCATGGCTTTCCCGTGGTGATTCTTGCCAGAGTGTGTGTTGGTGGTTTATCACAAACAGGACAGGACTGCTGGGGTACATCCCTTGAGCTTTACTGCAGCATCAGCCTCATTGCACGGCTGAAACAACTGAAATATGGCAAAAGCTCATTCACAGCCAGCAGCAGCCAAAGATTTCTCTGTTACAGAGCATTTTAAAAACTTTCTAGCCAACAGCACATTGCTAAAGCTCACAGACGGTTGTTCTAGCCAGTCACTAAAAGCACAGGTACACCTGCTTCACACAATGCTTGTCTGCTCTCTATTAACAACTCACAATACTTAATTATGAAGCTTAAAACCTTCTACTATCTCACTAAGCATATTTTTCTGCAGTCTTAAAGTTTATCTTAGCCAAGCCTAAAACTCGAGCTATAGTTTCATGTCCTTGCTTGCTGTACTATTGTAACCTTTTCTACTGTCAAACTTTACAGCTGCAGCTAGCTCTAAGTTTTCTATTATTTCTGTTCCTAAACCCTACTTTTACAGCTGTCTAGAAATCTTTTTACCTCTACTATTTCCCACATTGGGAAGCAGCTTCTAAACTGATTGCCACTGTAGATGGCTTCAGCTTAATGTGGGGTTTGGATTTAGGGATATTCCCTGGAAAATTGTTGCCTGCTGCTTCTCTTGATCCCCCCTGTGGTGTGGGAGGAGAAGATGAGGTATCACAGCCACCTGAGGTCTGAGGTGGTAACCAAGCAGTGCAAAGAAGTGAGGTCATACATGTAATACAGTGTCAGGAAGAGAAAGGGAGTTCCTTTATATATAAAAGGTGGTCTATTATTGAGAGGATTTAGTGAAGTTTAGCTAGTTTATTGAAATTTAATTAAATGTATGTTCTTTCACATTACAATAATTAAGTCGATTGTTGTTAGAGGATGTGCACAAAAAATTGTTTCAGCTATGGTAAGTGGAAAAACCTTTGAGATCAGCAGACAAGGAGTCCCCTTATCCCAAAAAGTAGAATTAAAGTAATACTCACTTTCATTTAGCAGTGACTAGGAATCAGTCTGCTGCCTGCAAACAGGAAAGGTACCATTTGCCTTGAAGCAGACTGGTCTGCAGAGGAATGAGGGCAGCAGCAGGCACAAATTCCCATTTCCTGCAGGAAGGTGCACGTGAGTGTCCCACACTCCTGTACCCACTGTGCCCGTGGTTCAGGCACTGCCACACAGCTTGGGAGTGTCTCTCCACGTGTTGCTTTTCTAGACCGTGGGGAATGATTGCTTGTGTCTTTCTGAAAGGTACCAAAAGCATGATTAGCAGAGTAGTAAGAGGCAAAAATCATCAGTGACTTCCCAGTGCTGCTCTCTGCTCCCTGCAGCAGCTCCTGCTATCTTTTGCTAGACGCATTGTTCTACCTTCCCTGATTTCACAGAGAGGATTTTCCCCAGCAAGAACAGCACTGAAGGCACTGGAAATGGCTCAGATCCGAAGTTCAGGCTGATTTTTAGGAATTGTTTAAAATCAAGTTGCTGCTGTGACACAGTCCCTCCCTAACTGTGCTTTTCTCCATCTGCCAGTGTGCAGGCACTTATTTATGGAAGCCATTGCTTCAGAGCCCACTTGTTCTGCCAGGCTGTTCATTTCCATATGTCTCCACTTCTGTACAGCTAGATGCAAAGCTAGTTAGCCACTGTGCCTGGTTGCCAACCCACATATGGCTCTGGAGATAGCTTCTGAAGGCTGATGACAGGGCAGTTATAAAGTATTATCTACTGCCAACTGGAAAAAGCTTGGGTGCTTTTTCTCTTTGCTTATACAGATTGTGTTGAATTTATTCTGATGTTACATCATTGTAGGGTAATTGTGTTCTCCTTCCAGAAGCTTTAGCTTCTTATTTTATGGATGAAAGCTATAAAAATAGAGTAGCCCCCAAGCATTCTGCATAAAACATGGTTGTTAGACAGCAGCTGTGTCTAAGGGGGCTCTTCCCTTCTGCTCTGCAGTTTCACAAGGCATCTCCTGGTGTCTCACTTCCATGGGGACTGTCTTCCTTGGAAATGAATATTTAACCTTTTAGCTCTGAGATCAGCACAGCAATTTTATGTGGAGTTTGCTGTCCAGTAAAGCCATGAATTGTGCCCATGTATCAAGGAATTTTTAGTGGGAGCAAGAGTGTCCACCTTGGTGACCTCAGGGTATGGGAGGAGGGAATAATACTTCATGAACACCCATAGTGTTGGCTCCTTGAGAAGTGGATTGAAACTCCAATTCGGTATGGAGGGCACAAGCCTGGAAGTGAATTCTCAGTAGGTGAATCCTTCTCAGCCAGGGTGTGACAGGTACAGCAAGTCAGGAAGATTCCACAAACACACAAAAAAGTGCTGTGTGCATTGATATTTCACTGTGTTTGATGCAGCTTCTCTCAGCCAGGACTGCCCCAGCACACCCACAGCACAGCTTGGAGGTGTGAGGATGAGGACATTCTCATGGAAGTGCCTTCAAGAAGAAAAGTCACATCTGGGGGGTCTTAGTCAGGAAAGGTCCCTTAGATAACCTCACCCAGTCACCCTCTGCCACTGGGACCTCTATTTGAGGCTGTGTTTTCTCTCTGTTACTCTAGCTGAAAATAGCCCTGGCTGGAGTTCTGGAATTATGACTGTGGGCTTTTGTGCTGTGCTAAACTCTCTGTCTCTCTCAGGGGCTTACAGAAATGCAGTTTTGTTTCTGTAATGTTGCATACAACACATGCTAACTTCCACATAGACCTGGGCAGTCCCATCTCCTATTTTACTGGTTTTTGTTGGGTTTTTTTTCCTGTTACAATTATGGTTTCTTTCTGCTGCTGTTGATTTGCATTACATCTGCACTCATTTTGCTAAGCACTATTCAAGGGCAGAGGAACTTTTCCTGCCTCAAAGAATTCAAGGCAGAGGAAGAATCAGGAAGAAAACTTCCTAATAGGAGGCAGCTAGGCTGTGGTGGAAAGCTCAGCTCTTCTGAGTCTTAGCCCCATCCTGTTCTGCCCTGTACCCCTCAGGGGCTTCCAGACCTGTTTTTTGTGTTCTGAACTATAAGAATTCTTTAATAACCCCTCAGAATACTGTCGAGCTAAAGCAGTAGTAGGTGGTTACAATGGAATGTCGTGGAAGGAAAACCAAGTACTTCAGGGGATTACTTTTTATACTTTTTCAATGTAAAAGAATTCTCAAATTACCTTAACTAAAGCCCTGCACAGCATCAGTTATCCAGGTACGCAGGAAAACAATGTTTGAAAACACTCTAGGAAGGAAAAAGAGAGAACAACTTTGGGAATCCAATTTTAATGAGGCAGATGAACATCTTCAGCTCTGCCGAGTGCTACTGCAGCACACATTGCTGTGTCTAAGGATTCCCTTCCAGAGGCACAGAGCTGCAGCTGGAAGCCTCCAGGAGCCACCAAGCCAAAGTTTCTTGCAAAGCCTCCTTGCTGCTTCCTTCTGTCCC